GGGAGCAGAGCAGGCAGAAGGATCGAAGTACACTGCTGAGGGGAGCAGCGGGCAGCAGGAGAGGTCTGCGCGCCATGTGGGACCCTCCTCCAGTGGCCGGGGAGCAGCCGGGGATCGAACTGGTGCCGCAGAGGCTTCGGGAAGCTTCACAACCCAGTGCTCAACCGCTGCGCCACTGGGGAGGCCCTTCTCAGAATTTATTTTACAGAAATACTGGCAAGAGTAAGCAAAGGTAAATATGCAGGAAGTTCTCTGCTGCATTGTTTGTCATAACAAGAGACTGGAATACAAATTCCTGTATCAGGGGCCTCCCTGGTGGCACAAGGGGTTAAGACGCATCCTATGAAGCTATCTGCAGCCACTGCAGCACGAGTTCAATCCCGGCCAGGGAGCTACCCACATGGCGCAGCAGACCTCTCCTGACTCACCCACTGCTCCCCTCAGCAGGGTATTTCAGTCAGTCTGCCTGTTCTGTTCCCCACTCTGTCTCTGGTGAATCCTCTCACACCCCCCTCTCCCCACACCTCTGGCCTGTACCCCATTCCTTGTATGCATAAATAAATAAATCTTTAAAAAAAAACAAAAACAAGTTCCTGTATCAGCAGAGAGCAATGGAGTCATGCTGTGTGCTTCCCCAGGGCTGGTAAAGAAGGGGAGAGGTGTAGCTGTACCTGCCAGCCTGGAAGGATGCCCACGCTTGGTGTTCCCTTTGGAAGGGAAAAAAAAAATCAATTATCTGTATAACATATTTTCAAATGATGTCTTTTACTCTCTTCATTTATACTTGCATATCACACACACACACACACACACACAGAGAGAAATGTATATACCAAGTATTCACAGTGATTCAGATTTAAGGCCACTGTTCAAATTCACATTTTATTTTTCTCTCATTTACTTAAGTACCTGCTGCTTTTCTAGAGTGTTAAAAATCATTTTTATTGAAAATATTTTAACTGACATTTTGGTTTCTATATCAGTGTGTGTGAGATGGTGATTAAAAGTCTGCCCCTGAGGGCAGATTTGCAGCCTGCTAACCAATAGGGATTTTTGCTAGTTCACTCTTCCTGCCCTCACTTGAGAGACTCCTCAAGAGCCTTGCTTCCTTTCCCAGCTAGGAGTCTGCAAGGATGGCTCTCCAATCTGAGAGAGCCAGAGAGGCCCCCGTGTTTGCCCAGAACTTGCTGGGTTGTGATAAGCACGCCCTGCGTGTCGTACAGACAGACCCTTAGTAATGAAGCTACCTTGTCCGGCTGCCCGTCCACGGTATGGTCATAGCAGCCTCCCCTGCCCTCCCCAGACTGCGAGCTTCCCCTGCGCAGACATCAGGCCCAACTGTCTTTGTTTCTTGGAGCCAACATAGAAATTGTTACTTGACCTAACTTACGAACACAAACATGGACTAAGGGAACTCAGCTACTGGGAAGATGATGCAGCCTGGTGATATATTTGGCATAAGGAAGTGAGAAAGGAGATTAGCCATGAGCCATCAACGGCGGAGGGCCACAGGGCGTAATGGGCAGATACAGCAAGTCAGTTTACCGAATGTTCCCTCTGGAGAAAGCGGGGAGGCAGCCAGCACCTCCTCAAGATCTCAGGTAGGGCTTACCCATTTTAAGAACAGAGGCCAGAGAGGTGGGATGGAAGGGGAGGCAGGGGTATGTATCCTGTGTTCTTTCCTGCCAAACCAGTGGATAAGGTGAGAATTGGTGCTGGTGGAGAGAACTTAATGCAAGCCTGGAGCAGTGACATGCTACGGCCCAAGAGGAAGAAAGGCACAAATAACTTTATTTCCCCTTATTTGAACATGTGTATCGCCAGTGGTCAGGGCCAGGCACGGAGCAGGGACTTAGTAGATACTTAAGAAGGAAGCAAGCAAGGGAAGTGGTAGGGGAGAGGCAGGGCTGTGACCCAAGGACTAGCAAGTTCTATTCTACTTTCATGCTATTGGGATAATTTGAGGGGGGTCCACCTTGGGTTCCTCCCATATTCTTATTAGGGAGTAGGTGTTGAGGGAGGTGTGTGTCGGGGGAGAGAGAGAGAGAGTTGGGCTAGTTACAACAAAGATTCTGACCTGGAGTCCTACAACCCTAGAGAAGTCTCAAGATAGAAATGGGCACCAAGAGCTATTTCAGTTTTAACGCCCAACAGGAACTGTGCATTTGTGCAGGGTAAGGCTGCATGTGCTGACAGGCGAGCCACCTTTCTCGAGGGCTGGAACTCCACCACTCCCAAGAAACAGAAAAGTGTTGGGATCCAGCCAGCCGGGCAGGGGGCTGGCCCTGCAACCTAGTAGGACAGAATATATCTACTTTGGCCTTTGGCCACATGACAAACCTCTCTTGAGCACTAGTTTCCTCTGCACTGAAGTTGGGTGGGGGGGGTCCACAATAGTATCCTTACTCAGAGGCTTATTATGGTGGCAATTGAATGAGCTAGTACATATATAGCACTTGGCACTCAGCAGGTGGTAGTTACTATCATTATTAATTCAGAGTAGGAAGTCTGGACCTCTTATGTTAATCAGAAACTCTGATCAGAGCTATAGATATTGATTAGCAGTCAATGAATTATTGATTGTTCAAAGCAGTTTTTAGAGGACAGCTTTCAAAATGTGGGAGCCCCTGGGAAGAAATCAGGAGTGTTCTTGGGAGCACAAAGTTTGAGCCCCTTGGTGCTAGGTCTCTTCCAGCTGAAATCTTGGCATAATTGTTCTCTCTGCTCGGAATGCTTTTTCCTCCTCTTTACCTGTTTGATTCTTACTCTGATACCTCTTCGAGGAAGCATTCTATGACTCTGGCTTGTCTGAGTTGGGCCCTTCTGCAGCTCACTGGACTCGCTCCGCTAGGACAGCCACTACATCGTGTAGTGCTTCTTAGAGCAGGGACACTCAACACTGACTCTGCATCAGAACCGAACTAAGATCTCGTTAAGGCAGAGATTGTTGGGCACATCCCCAGGGTGATTCAGTTGGTCTGAGGGGTTCCTGGGAATCTGCATTTCTCATGTGACACTGGAAGGTGCTGAAGATACTGGCTCCAGAGGTTACACACGGAGAACTTCTGGTTTAGACCAAATACCCTAAAACTCCAGGGTTTTATGTTTATTCCTTACTGCACCCCCAGCAGCACCTCTTTCTCTGTTATGGTTACATGGAAGGAGAAAGTCAAATAACAAGATACAATACAAAAGATTTTCCAAGGCCTTGTGTGCTGACAGCAAGACAACGGTGGTGACCCCACTGGAAATGAAGCCACTGGACTCCGAGGGCCAGAAGTGAGGTGTCCACCACCTGTTAGGGCAAGAGGGAAGCCTGTGGCCTGGCTCATAGCGCCCTCTGGTGCTGAGAGATGGACTCTGCACCTGGAGCAGTGAGCTGGCTGGTGACAGAAGGGATGGATTTTCCCCTCGCCAGTTGCAGGACATTCTTTCCCCCTAACACCATGACTCTCCTCTGCTTCTGGACAAAGCTAAACATTTAAGGTCCTTCTATGCCTTCTCCTGCTTTGTGGCCCTCAGTATTCTGCTGCTCTCCTCAGGAACTCTGTTTTATCCACACAGAAAAGCCATGGACATTTGACTTACTCCATGCGATTCCTCCTAACGAGACTGCAACTCACCTTTTCTTCCTAGAAACGTTTTCTTTCATTAATGACAAATGTGGTCTTTTCCATGCTGTCTTTCTGGATTTTTTTCAGATGGAAGTAACCGTCTGTATAGATCTGTGCAGAGACCACTATGGAGACCTTACAGTGTAAGTGAGTACCTCTTTGTGGGTCCTGGGCCCTCTGTGACAGCATGAGATCTTTGGGACTCCAGACTCAGCTTTAATGTCTCATAAAATGCTATGGGCTCTAAAAAAAACCTGTTTTTCCAACTAAAAAAAGTTCCAATGGTTGTGTAGGCCCCTTTTCAAAGCTGAAAATCACTGTCCAATACCTAAACACAATATATTATATACTGTTAAGTGGGGATTAGTGGTAAAAAAATTAAGCAGGGTAAGAGGTAGAAACTGATGATGGGGGTTTCTTTTAGGCAAAGCAGTTAAGGAAATCCTCACAGGAGCAGAGACCTGAACAAAATCCAAACCATGCATTTATCTGGGAGAAGGAATTCTTGATGGCATGCAAAGACCCTGTAGCAGGAATATGCTTAATCTATTCTAGGAATAGCAATAACCAGTGTATTAAGTAAGAAGCAGATACTGAGATGAGAATTCATGTGCACGTGACTAAGCGCTCTCTAGGGGTAACTAGGTTACTGAGACTTTCATATTGCCAGATTTAGGAACACCCCAGGGCGATGGGAACTCTCAGAAACTTCTGGGTTGTATGTATGTAAAATGGGTGCTGTCATGGAAAAGAATCAGGGTGTAGGATGGCGGTGCAGGGGTGAAAGAATTCACCAAGACAAGGTGGAGAACATAACAGGCAGATTTACTGAAACACACTGCTAAGAGAAGTAGTGGGAAAGAGAGGAGGGATCTGCCACACATAGATTAGGGTCCCGGAGCTCTGTTTATACTCCAGCCATCATTGACTGGTTAGGGTGACTAGTCTTGGGTGAGTCCTGACTGATGATCTGAATTAGCATAGATCATTGGGTCATCTGCTTAGTATCCAACTTTCGTGGCAGTTTCGTCTACTCCCTTTATCCAAACTTGCCTGCTGGATAAGAAACTGGGCCTACTTTTTAAATTTAGTAATGATACCATGACAGGCTCCAGTAGCCTGAGAGCAGTCCCAACTTGATGGGAATTTAGGATGGAAGCTCTCACAAGGACAAACCCCAGAGGTGTGGGTAGAGAAGATCAATAAATCTTAACTAAACTAGCAATGGAAGGTTCCAGGAATCTAAGGTGGGGTGAGAAAAGATTATCAGCCAGAGGTGGGAGCAAGAGGATTATCAGTCTTAGAAGACCAACCCAATCTGACCCCAAGGCAGTAGTTTCCACTATAATTCTATCAAAGGACAATTGTAAAAAACACCACTTGCCTTTGGGAACCTGCAGCTCTTGCTCTTTAAGATTGCCCGTCTGTCTGTGCAGGTACCTTGCCTTCCCTGTTCACATGTTCTCCACAAACCTGCTGTGTGATGATGAATGGGATCGTCTGCTACATTCTTTCTCAGAGGGGCCCAATAAGCCCATGTACCGACCCCATTGCCTGAGCTCCATCACACTCACCACGAGCCATGGGTACTGGGTATTGGAAGCAAATGCCTTCCAAAGCTTGAGAACATGCAGGAGGGTAAAGAGTGATCTGAGGGAATCTGGGTGGAGCACTGACATTGTCTGTTATAATCAGTGAAGCTGAAAGACAGAAATCATGGGGAAGAATTATGAGATAAGATCCAAGAGTCAGCTGAGGCGAGGTTAGGTGAACCAGTATCTTACTTTGCTCAGAGATCGTCAAGCTAAAGTATCGACCCTTTGCAGCCATCCTCGTGTTTAGAAGTGGCTAGTTCGGGCCCTGCCATGTAAGTTGTGGTAGAATGTGTTGATTTCCTAATGAGAGGCACCACCTCTTCCTCTTTGCTGTTCCCCTTCTTGCCTGGAATGTGAATCTTTAACCATGAGGTCACAATGCAGCAAATGCATCAGCCTGGGCTGCCTAGCTGCAGGCTTCTTGGAGAGGATAAGAAATCCCCACGTGATGAAGTCATTGGCTCTTGACTCCATGCAGGCATGCTCCCAACTGGCTCCTCCCTCCAAACACATGGATCTGCACAGCCTCTTACTTTATACAAGAGCACCTTTTCCAACTCAAGTGCACCGAGCTTTTCAGGTTTGCCAGTCTTCTGTGTGACCATCTGTCTTGTTTTATGATGCATTTATTAAGTTATGAGCAAGGTTTGTTGTAGAGCAACCCCGATACAAAACGGGGTGCCTGACTGTGGGTCCTCACCCGCGCGCTTAAAAGGACTTATTAATGCTTTACTGCAGGCACACGTGAAAGGTTAATAAAAGGTTTATTTACAAGGGAAAGGGAAATGAGGAAATGTACAGCTCTGGGAGAAAAGTGGGAGACAAAGTTTTAAATGAGTCCTACCCGATCCGCCGATCAGGAATCCCAAAATGGCGCTCTGAGAGCTGGCCGCCAGCCAGGAGCCCTGAAGCCAGGAGGCGAGCGATCGCGAGCCAGAGCGCCAGCAAGGCCCACGTGTTTGGTTTTTATATCCAACCTGGCTACCCAACTCCACCCTCAGGTCCCAGCCACCCTCCCCTTGGTGGTGATGGGATTTGTCTTTCCCAATGTCCTGATGGCTTTAGTCTGGAGTGGGGGTGGGGTCCACAAAACCTGTATGAGATTATCTCAGGACATCCTTTCCCCCTAACAGGTTGATATTTATTTGTTTGCCGGACATTTGTGTTTACATGAACTATGTGTTTCTGTGCTTCACCCCTTTTCATTTGGGAGGCAGAAAGGAGAATTGATGGGCATCAGCATCTTAAAGTTTCTGAGGATCCCTGCTGTAGTAAAGCTGTAGTTTAACTTTAGCACAGAGCGCCCCAAAATCATTTGATCACACAACCTGTTTTTTCTTGGAATCCTTATGTCTATTAATTAGGACAGCGCTTCCCACAGGTGTGCTGTGGGTGGTCACAGGTGTGTTGACCTGTTGAACCATTCAAATCTCACCACAGCTGAAAATATATTTGAACATGAGCTGGTTCCCTCTGCAAAATTCCTGAAGTCAGTGACAATTAGGCCATCAGGCAACAGGCCCCCAGAGTGCCCACCACATCACTGCAGGTGTCTATTTCCTGGTCATGGTTTATCATCTGTAACGTTATTTTGTAAGTATGTGTAAAAAATAGTATTTCATCCTAGCTCCACACCCCCTCCCCTGCAGTTCTCCAAAGGTGCATCTTCGGTGCCAGGTGCCAACTCTGCATACCCCCTTAAAAAGTAAAATAAAAATTAATGGGACCTCCCTTGTGGCGCAGGCAGTTGAGCGCCACACTGTGAAGCTGTCCGCAGCCTCTGCAGTGCGGGTTCGGTCCCGGCCAGCTGGGGAGAAACCCGTATGGCGCAGCAGACCTCTTCTGTCTTGCCCGCTGCTCCCCTCAGTCAATCTGCCTGTTCTGCTCCCCGCTCTGGCTCTGGTGAATCCTCTCACCCTCCTGCACATCTGGCCTGTACCCTGGTTCTTGTATAAATAAATAAATCTTTAAAAATAAAAAAAATTAATGCATAACATCGCCTTTCTTCACATTTTCCTAACATAGCAATGATGGGGTTCAGATGATGAGGTGTGGTGCGTGGGGTTCTTGGGTCCTTCTGAGAAAGTATTCAGCAGATGGCAAGGTTACTAAGGAAAGAGATGACTGCAGAGACACAGGTGGGCAGTCTTCAAAGGCAGGAGCTGCAGGTTCCCAGGGCAAGGGGTGTTTTTGTCCTTTGATGCAATTATTATGGAAATAATTGCCTTGGGGTCAGATTGGGTTGGTTTTCTAAGATCAATAATCCCCTCTGCTCCCACCCTGGCTGACAATCTTTTCTGACCCCGTCTTAGATTCCTGGAAACTTTCATAGCTGAGTTTAATCCAAGATTCATTAATAATCCCTACACCCAGCTCTGGGGTTTTTCCTTGTGAGACCTTCCACCCTATAGTTTTTCTTCTCTAAGTTTCCATCAGTTCTGCTAGAGGAAGAAAACTAGAAGCTTGTGTCTATGTTCTCCTGGACTTCATCACTCAAGAAAGTGCCTTTTCTCTTTTCTGATTTTAATCAATTTCCTTTCACTACAGTGAAAGACTGCTCACAGAAGCTTTTTTTGGTCCCCCTGCCTGCTGCGGTATCATTGATAAATTTAAAAACCCAAGGGCCTATTCCCCGCCCAGAAGGCACGTTTAGGAGGCTTGAATAGATAAAGGAAGTAGACGGAACTGCCATGGCAACCTGGGTATTAAGCAGATGATCCAAAGAGCTGATGATCCTGTTTGCTAATTAAGCCCATGAGCCAGGAACACACCCAAGACTAGTTACCCCAACCAGTCAATGATGCCTGGAGTATAAATAGAGCCCGGGACCGTCACGCTCATCCTCCTGTCTTGCCTGCTGCTCCTGTCAGCAGTGTACCTCAATAAGTTCACCTGTTCTGGTCTCTGTCTCTGGTGATTCTTTCACCCCATGCCTCTGTCCTACACCTGGTTCTACAGGTGTAGACACTGCCCATGTCTCCGGGTACGACACTGTGAGGCACCCTGCTTCCCCAATATTGACCTCAGTATAATAATTGCCTTTGTAACCTTGGTGCCTGGGACAGAACCTGCCACATGGGGCATGCTAATAAATGCTTTGTGCAGGGATGAATGAGGTAGGTAACCATTCTGCCAACTCTTTGCTTTGTTTGCATGAGGATCAAAGGAAGATGATTTGTTTACCTAAAAAGGAAGAGGATCTGGCATGGAAGAGGGAGAGAGCAGACAGGTATAATTTAAAGGAGCCAAATAAAATGTTGTGATTCTTGAAAAACGAAGCGCTTTAATTGATGACCATGTAATTCCCAGTTTAGCTTTCAAAAGAGGCCTGAGAAAACTGGCCTAAGGTATTAGAAGTCAGGGTAGTGGTTATGCTCCCCTGGGGGTGTGCTAACTGGGAGGGGACCGAGGCGGCCTCTGGGGTGCATGTAATGTTCTGTTTCTTGGTCTGGGTGTGGTCACAAAAATAAAAATTCATCAAGTTGTACACTTGCTGGCTTTTGCATTTTTGGTATTATGTTACACTTAAAGTTTACAAAACATAAGTAGATTTTTAAAACAAACAACCCCTAACCTTCCTCCAGAATAATATCACCCCTACCATATCACCCCCATCAATCCTTGCAGTTATTTAAACCCACACACAGATGGGTGTTTTTCCCATAGTCCCTTGAGCTCAGATTAAATATATGTTGAATGCAGGTATTTTAAAAGGTTGTCATTAAAAAGCTCATCACGTGCAAAAGGAATTGAAGTGCTAATTATATAAACTTGGGAGTTGTAGGCTATCCTGCGTGAGTCGTCCTGTTTTCCGCCTGGTTGAAAAGTTGACTTTCAAGGGAGCATGGCACTAATGGCAGGAGTTCTTGGAGACAGAAAGATCTTCTCAAGAGATCTTAGATCCAGATGTCTGGAACCTGGCCTGGAATTTGGAATTGTAACTATTGAGTTCTAGCACTCAGCTAGCTCTGCTGAGTGCTTCCTGGACGCAGGGCTTTCTAAATCGCTCACCCTCCTCACCACCCACACCCTTTGTTAGGTCAGGCAACTCTGGTGGCTGGCAGAGTGGGCCAGGTGCCCAGTGGGACCCAGAGAATATTGACATACTGACCCCTTAGTGATCCCCAGCCCACAAATCACCCTGGGGGGGAAATACTCCCTGGAAACATTTGAGACCCTTGGGTTATTGAGCTGGACTGACGTAAGGATTGCTCTCCTGGTGTCTTCCCACCAACTGAAATGCAATTAATTGTGTGTTTTTATTTATTTATTTATTTTTGCAAGAACACTCATTTGTGTTGGGGAGACTGGTGGGGAAAAGCCAGACCACGAGGTAGTTAAACATCATTGGTGATTTCATAACCTTAATTCAGTTCATCAAATATTTATCGGGGGCCTGCTATGTGTCAAGCCCTGGGCTTGGTGCCATGGACAGACAACTCTGCCTCTCCAGTGCTGGTGGTGGAAAGGGCGGAAGGGCCACGGAGTGGTTGACAGCAAGTGGTGGGAACTTTTCTTGAAGTTCCTTTTGCTCAACGAGCAGTTTTTCGATGGATTGTGTGTTTGAGGTAGTCTGGAGAACACAGGGAAGTCTGTGGGTGCAGTTCCTGGAGCTGTTGCTTCAGTCTAGGGTAAGTGAAAAAGATATTAGGCTTTTCTGCCCTCCCGCCATCAGGATAGATGATGGATCCTTGAGGTCCTGAATGCATGCCTGATGGCGGGCACCTGGAATAGGGTGCGGGCATAGGTAGATGGGATTCACCTGGGCTGAGACTGGGCTTTTAAGGGCGGCGTCATGGGGACGCCAGCAGCAGAGGGAGCGGGAGAACAGAACTACCAGAAGAAGCAGAACCACGAGGAGAGCAGAGAGAAGCAGAGCAGAACCACAAGAACAGCAGAGACCACCCAGAGAAGGCCAGAGAGCCTAGAGTGAAGACTTGCTGGGGACTGGGAGGCCTGCCAGCCCCCCAGCACCCCTGCCTGCTGTTTACCTGGTAAATCCCAATGGAAGCCTGAAAAACCACTGAGGGCTCCAAGACTCTCTCCTCCTTCGCCTGTCTGCTCGGATCATAGAGATCCTGCTCAGTGTCCTGTCCTGCTGTTATACAGGTGTAGGGTAAGGAAAAATGTCAGGCTTTTCTGCCCTCCCGCCATCAGGATAGATGATGGATCCTTGCGGTCCTGAACACATGCCTGATGGCGGGCACCTGGAGTAGGGTGTGGGCCTAGGTAGATGGGATTCACCTGGGCTGAGACTGGGCTTTTAAGGGCGGCGTCACGGGGACGCCAGTAGAAGCCGAAAGAGAAGCCGAGAAGCAGCAGAACAAATGGAAGAGCAGAGAAGCAGAGAG